ACTATCCAAGTAATAATCAAACAAAAACGAAATCTATGCATTGGTAAATGACATGACGGCTGTTTTAATGCAATTGACGTTCATCTGCCATGTTTTACACCAAGAGCTGAAGGAAATGAGCGATTGTGAAAGACGGTGATGATCTTCCGCAGAATTAACGGGTTCCTATAATACGCAATCATCAGCATAAAGTCCTATTGTACATGAGGTGCAGTGAGATAAATCAATAAAATATATGAGGAATAATAATGGGCCTAGTACAGGTCCCTGGCAAACGCCTTAGGTGATGTCAACAAGGGATGATTCCACTGAGTTTAAGGAAAAAAATTGAGGGCGATAGTGAAGGAAACTGGCGATCCAAGAAACAAGACGGCAATTATTGAGTATGCTATGTCATTTCCCTAGCAACACAAAATGAAGAACAGAGTGGAAAGCTTTAGAGTCAATGAAAATGGCATCTACTTGATTTCCTATATCTAGGTTAAAGGCAACGTCATGAAAAAAAAATCGACTAATTGTGTAACCATGCTGTAGCCACGACGGAAACCGTGCTGAGCAGGCGTTAGAATTTCATTGGAGCCGAGGAAGTTAATAATATGCTTGTGAATAATGTTTTCCAACATCTTCCATGACTATGGTGTAAGAGATATTGGCCTGTAATTAGATAAGAGTTGTTTATCACCAGATTTATACAAAGGCAAAACTCGCTGTTTTCTAGGAAGGTGGTGCTTCACTACAGTCAAGTGATTTCTAGAAAATTACAGTGAGGTAACAGGCTGACCATGCCGAGAATCTCAAAAGAAAGGAATTCGGTATGCCGTCACAACCGGAACATTTCTTGGTGTCAAAATTCAAGATGGAGTTCGATACACCTTCAGTGCTTAATAATTATTACCTAGTTTATTGGTTTGTACGTCATAACTAAAAATTTCAACAACATGATTGTCGAGGGTGAAAACTGACTGAAAATAAAAGTAAAATGCATTAGAAACTTCGATGGGGTCGTTTGTAATGGTGTCATTAATCTTGAAAGAGGTGTGGCATAACGTCACTTTAATGTTTCCGCATTTGAAGGTTCTACAACGACTGCCCCTGAATCGGGGCACACACACAGTTTTGTTGCTTCTTTCGGGTGAGAGTGTTCTTATTGCCGGCGCCCGTGTTTGGAGGCATCGCCGCGACGCGCAGGCGCAGAAGCGGCGCCGACCCGTTTCGCCACACCACCTCCCCACGCAGATAGGAGCCGTCAGGGTTGAAGACGTTTGGGGACCCGCACCTGGCATCCAAGGCGGTGGTGTAGGGTGCGAGCCTAGGCGTTGCGGGCTGTTGTCAGCGAGTTACGGGAGGCGTGCGGGGGTTTGTAGGCTTTTGGGAAAGGATGTATGATGGCTTTAGGCGGCCGATGGAAACGTGTACATCCTTTCGACTGATTTGCAGGGTGAATGTTTTGTCGTCGCGACAGATGACTTTGTAAGGTCCGGAGTAAGGCAGCTGGAAAGGTGCGCGTACGGTGTCGTCGCGGAGGACGGCATACGAGCATGTTGCCAGGTCCTTAAACACGAACGGGGTCAGCTTGGTGTGGCAAGCCGCTGGTTAGGGGCTCAGCACGCCCATTGTGTGACGGAGTCGCGCGACGAAGTCTGCAGGGTCGGAGCTGGTTACATCAGAGGTCGGAGCGGAGGAGTTCTCCAGGAAGGCGAAGCGGCTCCTCGTAGACGAGTTTCACGGGCGTGGCTTGAATGTCTGGATTGAAAGTTGCGCGCAGACCAAGAGCGACGGCGGGAAGCTTCGAGCCAGGTTAAGTGAGGATGGCACATGGTGGCTGCCTTGAACTGCCGGGGAAACCGTTCAATCATTCCGTTGGCGCAAGGGTGGTAGCTAGTTGTCCGTGAACGTACGAACCCGGTGGAGAGCCCGAGGGGCCTGAAGAGTTGAGATTCGAATTGCCTTAATTGATCGGTGCTGACTCGACGAGGAGTGCCGAAGCATAAAACCCAGCCGGAAAAGAAGGCTGATGCGACGTCATCTGCGGCCACACCTCGGGCCAACTAGTGTAACGATCGATGGCGGTGAGGCAATAGCGGTAAGGGCCCGCTGGTGGGAGGAGGCCAATGATGTCGATGTGGACGTGCTGGAACCGTTCCGTCGGGAGGGGGAATTCTCCGAGTGGCGACGTGACGTGCCGGGTGATTTTGGCGCGCTGGCATTGAATGCATGTGCGTGCCCAGGTGTGGCAGTCCCGTTGCATTGAGGGCCACGCGTACCGGTCAGTCACGAGGCGTGTAGAAGCTCGGATGCAGGGATGACTGAGGTTGTGTAACTGGTTGAAGAGGCTTTGGCGATGCAAAGAAGGGATGTATGATCTCACTCGTCCTGTTGATATGTCACAGTAGAGAGCGTCCGTTGACCCAGTGAAGGTAACATTTTGTAGTTGAAGGGAAGAGCCATTCTCGAAGAGCTGCTAGAGTTCGGTGTCCGTTTTCTGAGCTTCGGCGAGAGCGTTGGTTCTAACGGTTGGTAGCTCGACAGCCGAGACGCGAGAGAGTGCGTCGGCGACCACGTTTTTCTTTCCGATGATGTGGCGGATATCTGTGTTGAATTGAGCGATGAAGGACAGCTGGTTCTGCTGGACCTGTGGAAGTTTTTTTTTTTTTCGCGGCGTTGGGAGAAGGCGTAATTGATAGGTTTGATGGTCGGTGTATATGGTGCAGTGCTGTTCCTCAAGGTTGTGGCGAAAGTGTTGGACTGCTTCGTAGATGGCAAGGAGCTCTCTGTAGTAGGCTGGCCAGGTCGTCTCCACAGGGGGCGAGGTTGCATGGCCGATGCTGCCGGAAGATGGGGGCGGCTTCGGGGAAGAGAGTTGCTTCGAGAAGAACGCCAAGGGGCGCCAGTTTTTTCCCACACGCTGCATGAGAGAGGCCTCGACGGCGGTGCTAGAGGCATCTGTGAAAAGTCCCACCAGGGGCGCCTCTGGCTTGGGATGGGAGAGCAGCGTAGCGTTTCAGAAGGCCGTTTTGCAGTCTTCTAACGCTTGCGTTAAGGCTGGGGTCCAAGTGACAGGATAATTGCCGCGTTGGCCGACCAACACATCATGGAGAGGGGCCTGATATGTGGCCGCTTTAGGCACGAAGCGCCTGTAAAAGTTGAACATGCCCAGAAAACAGTGGAGGTCTTTCGCTGTGGCAGGCAGCGCGTAATTTTGCAGGGCCAGGATGCGGTCAGGCAAGGGTCTAGTTCCTTCTGCAGAAATTTCATGGCCAAGAAACGTGGCGACGGGGGCGCCAAGCGTGCTCTTCTGAACGTTTATAAGTAAGCCGTGTTCGTCGAGGCGCTGGAACAGTTGACGAAAGTGTTGGCGATGTTTCGTTTCGTTGCGGGAGAAGATCAAGATGTCCTCTGGGTAGACGAAACAGAAGTCCAGGCCGCGGACGGCGTCGTCGCTGAAGCGTTGAAAGGTTTGCCCCGCGTTGCAAAGACCAAAACTCACGAAAGGGAATTCAAATTGACCGAAAGGCGTGATAATTGCGGTCTTCGGGATGTCATCCGTGTTTACAGGAATTTGTGTGTAGGCCTTTACGAGGTCCACCACTGAGAAAATAGTGCTGCCGTCTGAGCGGTGTGCGAAGTCCTGTATATGATGAACGGGGTACCTGTCGGGGATGGTGTGGGCATTGAGGGCGCGATATTCTCCGCAGGGGCGCCAGCCATTGGTCTTCTTTGGTACCATGTGAAGCGGTGAAGCGTAAGGTCCCTCCGAGTGGTGGGCAGTACCTTCGCGGATTCGAATTCAGCCTGTGCGATTCGTAGGCGGTCCGGGGCTAGCCGACGGGTGCGGCATGAGACCGGGGGGCCGGGAGTAGTACGAATGTAGTGCACGTTTGAGCGACGCTTCTTTCGCAGATGCCCACTAGGTCGAGTCAGGTCGGGAAATTCTGCGAGGATGTCATGGTGTGGCGACTGGTTCCCAATGGTGAGTGCCTTGACGTTAGGCTGTTGGGTGGTTGCACGTTGGCCCGGCGTGAAGAGGCCTGTTGTAGCGTCGATAAGTCGGTCATATCGGCAGCCAGGTAGTGTAGTACGCCAAGAAGTCGGACCCGATGATCGGCTCTTTGACGTCGGCAATGACAAAATTCCATGGAAAGTCTCGACACAGGTTTTTGAAGTTGATGTTAAGGCGGAGTGAGCCGTAGGTCTTGATGGTCGAATGTTTCGCCGCGCTGAGCTCAAAGGACGTGCAAGGACACTTGTCATGCAGGAAGGTTCGGGAAAGCAACAAATGTGGGAGCCACAGTCGACGAGGAACCGCCGCTTTGTGACTTGGTCGGTGACGAATATGCGACGACCTTTAAGTTGGCAGCTCGCGGTCGTCTCTACGGGCTGCCGTGAAAGTTTCCCTGATGTCCAGCGCAGCAAAGTGGTTGACATTTCCGGGCTTTGTCTCCGAAGCGGCGATGATAGTAGCAGGGGCCGTTATCATTTCTGTGCGATGAAGGGCCGCTGTTGTCTTGACTTTGGGAGCTTTTTTGAGGACGCAGCTTTGGGCTTTGATCCAGGCGCCTTTCCATTCAGTCCAGCTGACGGGTTATTTCGTCGACACGGCGTGCGAGCTCACTGCTGGACTGTCGGGTGTCAACGGCGTTGACCGTGAGAGGCGATGCTGGCAACGAAATCTCGACGACTTGATCAGCGATGTGAGAGAGCTGGTCCGGCGGCAGATTCGACTGCACCTGGAGGATGGCCTGCGCATGTGAGGGTAGATGCTGAAGCCAGATGAGAGGAGGGAGTCGTCGACCGGGGTGCTGCCCAAGAGGTGACGCATGTAACGCAGGAGCTGCGATGGCTTGCGGTCACCGAGTTCTTCGTGCTGGAGTAGGTTACGCACCTTCTCGTCTTGTGAAAGTGAAAACTGGCGGATCAGTTCCCTCTTCAGGTGTAGGTAATGGTCATCAGCCGGGGGATTCGCAAGTATATCACAAACCTCAGCCGCATAGCGAGTCTAGATGGGCGACGACGTAGTCATAGCGAGTCCGGTCCTGGGTAACGCGCACCGTGAAAAACTGCGCCTCGACTTGAGCGAACCACACGTCAGGCGCCTCTGCCCAAAACGGCGGAAGTTTGACGGCGACGCGACAAACGTCCGTGTTGGTGGCGGCCGCAGCAATAGAGGCGCCCGAGGTGGCAGGGACCGCTGGAGCGAAGTTTTGGGGGGCGTGACCCAAGTGGGCCGGTGCACGGTCGTCGGACGGGAGTGCTTCATTTTCATTGCGCTGCTGCTGTTCCCGGAGCTGCTGCTCTTGGTTCTGGATTACTTGCTGCTGGGCCTGCAGTTGTTGTTGCTGCTGTTGTACTTGTTGTTAAAGGGCAGCACGGGTTTCCTCGTCGGCCATGGTGGTGCGGCACGTCCGTTTTGCGGGTCACCAGATGTGGGATAACATAACTTTAATGTTTCCGCATCTAAAGGTTCTACAACGACTGCCCCTGAATCGGGGTACACACACAGTTTTCTTGCTTCTTTCGGGTGAGAGTGTTCTTATCGCCGGTGCCCGTGTTTGGAGGCATCACCGCGATGTGCAGGCGCAGAAGCGGCGCCGACCGGTCTCGCCACAGAGGAACTGATTGTTTTACTAGGCAAGACTGAAGCCCAGAACCTGCGAGGATTGGATGTGAGTAATAAAGGAAGTTGTACAAAAAAGTAGAAGTCTTTAGCGTTTTTTGTGCAGGCGCGAAGTTCCGCGTTGGTTTCCTCGAAGGAAGCTTGAAGCTCAGGCTTAGCAAGTCTAGTTTTACGCAGTCTGGCAACACGGCGAGATAAATGCAATATATCGCTTTCAATCGAAGACAGATTGTTATTCACCTTTTTAATGAAATGTAATTATTGATGCAGAATTTCACTAATGCCTCAAAACAACCAACAACACTGTCGACAAGAGACGCAGTGCTAAGTGACAAGAAATGGTCAAAGTTATCTGCCAGAGTATCAGAGATAGACGTATCATCAGCTTTGTTGAAATCCCTAAATGTAGAGTAGCTCTAACGTTCATGCGGGATAGAACAATTAATGTGTACAAGGACGGCGTCATGGTCCGAAATTCCTTCTATTATATCGCTCTAAAGGCTAAGTTAGCAAGACTGTCACTAATAAAGGCAAGGTCGAGTATAGAGTTCTGCCGCGTGTTCTTTTCAACTAATTACAGTCAAACGAGAAGCAGAAAAGGATGGCTGCTTCGGCCTTTAAATTCTTTAAGACAAATGCGTAAGGAATTTTGGGAGTCTTATTAGGACAGAAATAAATTTCGCACCCCACTTGCGTACATACAGGGCTTTCCCGAATGCGATGGCGCACCTGTCAGAATCTTATCAGTTTGTGCACATGCTACTGCAGATATCTTCATTCCAGTTTTAGAACAGCAGAACAGTGGTGTGGTATACAAAGTGATCAATGAAATGATTGCGGCGTGGGGGCTTACTGATGGGAGTACTCATAGCACTAGCATGTGATATGGTTACCATGAAATCTCACGCAGTCTTCTTTTTCAAGGTTCCAATTCTTTTGTTTCAAACCTGAAATTGCCTTACTCCGACCCCACCTCCTTTGTGCGTTTACCGTTTTGAGAGTCTGGGCAGCACGCTAGCTAATTGGACCCTTGGCTTAGCGAGTAGAAGCTGAAAAACCAGTCCGCGTATTGCATTTGTCATTTCGAAGAAGCAGAGGAATAGGCGGCTGACACATTTATGGATGCATCCAGTGAACACTCGAAAAGGTTCTTCGGAGAAAAACGTTTGAGTGCGTCTACGTTTTCTACGAACGTCTCAATTTCTAGGTGTCTATGTTGGCCAATGCTGAGAATAAATGTGCTATGTCTCGCTTTTGTCAGTGAATGTCGGGAGCCTAGAAAGTAAGATGTAACGTGACCTACAACAGCGAACAGATTATTTACAAAAGCTTAGCTTTGCTAGAGGTAAATGGAGGCCGTCTTGTCTATTTAGCGCAGTTTAAGCTTTATTCCTGCTACCTCTCTGCCAGACCAGTCTCTGCCCGCTACAACAAATGGCGTAACATCAATGATCTTCAAAAACACAATGATCATTCACAATACATCTGTTACCGTAATGTGAGAGTAAGTATTATGTTAAGAAGCAACTTTTTATCAAAAAGTTGGCATACTGACAATAATGTTTCCGAATTTCAGAAGGCGTGAAGACACTTGACATTTGTTTTGCTGCGCGTGGCTGGGAACGCTATAGAGCTCACACAGTCATGCACACTCTTTGCTGCAGTCAGGGAAATGTGGCTCATTAATTCACCGTTTACAGTATATTTACCGCTCACATGCGAGTTTGTTTTCCACCAACTTGCCCGCAAAGTATCCACAAACTTGTCAATGAGCCCTTTTCAAGCCTGAAAAGCGCCTTCAGGTCCCCGGAATCGAACAGGGGGTCCGTAGCCTATGAAGGTATCCGCCACACACTGGTAAATAAAAATTTTCGGGGCTTAGCATTCTTCAGGATTGATTTGCAGACAATTCAAGGTACCTCTCAGTCAGAACCTGTCGCCACTATGTGCGACGTTTATAGAGGATGCTTGGCTTGATGACCTCCCCTCCTCTCCCAAGAAAAAAAACGTGACGCGCATCCTGTAGCCACCCCTACGCATGCGTAGGCTAGTCTCTGAAAAACGTCCAAAGTTATACTACCCTTCAACCAGTGTCACGTATAAAACACACTGCCAAAGATTCCTTACCTTCCCGCGAAGGAAAGATCACCAGGTAATGTCCTACGAGTCTCAAAAATAGCAGAAGGCAAGGTCAAGTTCTTTGTGTACTTCAAAAACGCTTCTGCAGTCCCCTGGCTACAAAGGCGAGCAACTAAGCAGGTCCTAGAATCATAAGCACAATTGCCAAACCACTTTGCCAGGAATGTGGCACGCTTTGTTTCCTTCTTTCTTTCTGACACTGCGTCTCTTTTTTTCTTTCTTTCTTTCTTTATTTATTTTTTTTCAGCAGCCTCTTGATGGTACATCGTGTATTGGAGACGTAGCGACTAAATTCATCCAATGGACTAGACACACAAGTGTAAAATCTCGAGAAATAACTCATACGTGTTTCAGTGGGTGGCATAGTCAAGTTTAGGGGCATAACTTTTGACAAACGTCGGAACTGACACGAGAAAACTTCACAGTTCTTTTTTCACAGATGACGTCACCACCAAAAATGTTTGCAATATTTAATACTTGTTGAAAATCTTCTGATTCAAGAACTCCTACGCAAAGTTAGTGAGCACTGATAAATACAAAACATGACATGGTCCTGCTAATGTGCGATAATTTTAAATCAGCAATAAAAAAGTACATTTGCACAAACCTGGCAAGCAGAAAAATAAGCTAAACCTTGACTTGAAATTTTCAATTAAGTTACGGCAATTCTCTTTGCAAAAAAGGCTTGGTGCTTCAATATTAAAAACTTGAGATTTTCATCTCGGAAAGTTTTTCACCTCGTCAGTAATGCCTGCACAAGTGGAATCACAAATTTGTGAATTCAAGTAGTTATTATTTATGAGCTATTCATCGGGATGCAAAACATCTTCGCGTAGACAGTAGGTACATTGTAGCCTGGAAACCCATTTATTAGTGTTGTTCTATACAAAAAACAGCAAAAAAGTTATTCACTCATAAGCTTACATTGTTCTGACCAGATTTATCGAAGCCTGCAAGATTTCCTGATTGCGTTACTGGCTATATCTCTTCATAGAAACCTTGCATATTGCTTCATGCAGAGGCTCAGGAAACTTCGTTTGGTTATGTTGAACAGTTTTGCCACACTGCCAGTGCAACAAAGGCTTGTACAGCAATAATACTGGTTTTTGCTCGCACTGTTACGAGCGCAATGCACTACAACTGCAGACTAGACGACAACACTAGCTGTCTTTAGAAAGTGGAGAATGTAAGCTTTCTAATTCAACACAATTCACATCAATAGGCTGAGCGTAGAACATCAACAAACAGTGATTAAAATTCAGAATGGGCGCTGCCGGAGTGGAACTGCCACCTTAAGAAATCGTTTTGTTGGGCTAGTTGGTAAACGCTTACCTAATTTCAAAAGAATGCATACCACCGGGGAAGAAAATTGAGGACAGAACAGAAAGGGCGTCACTATCAATTAACTTTATTCTCGGGAAATCAGCCAATTATCACCGAAACTATGCGCATGCACGTTGCCTCAAATGCATGTAAAAAAAAACACGTGATAAGATTGACAACTAAAGATTGATGACAAAAAAGCCACTAAACAAAAAAAGATTCTAAAACACCAAATCCTCCCCCCCCCCCCCACGCAGAACAACAGTGGTAATACTAACATGCGTATCTCCCTTCTTTTTAATGTAGTATGCTTCCATAAATTTACGTGCTAAAGTATAGATACCCGTTTCAAGGATGGATACTCTGAAAAACTTAGCCTCACGCCTGCAAGAACCACAATATGCAGGCAAAAGGGTCAATGCATAAAGTACAGAATTAAAAAGCAAGAGCTTTCTGGGAAAAATAAACTTTTAGCATAATTTTCTACATATTGTGGTTTCTGTAAGTGTGAGGCTAGGATTTCCTGTGTATCCATTCTTAGAAAGAGTAACGATAATTTAGCAGGTAATTTTATCGAAGCAAACTACAATAAAAAGAAGGGAGATACGCATGTTAGTATTACATCTGTTGCTCTGAATGGCGGAGAATTTTGTTTCTTGAGATCTTTTTTTCGTTTAGTACACCGCCAGTACTTCAATACTTTCTCCCCACCTCCTTGATTGTGCGAGAGACACTGTACATGCAATGTACACAGTTGCCTCAATCCTTTCTTGGGCATTCGAAGTGGCCTGCCACTCCTCTTCACGCCTAGAATCCATCACATACGTTAGCAAGCTCACAGCTACCAACAACAACATATCTTGAGTGAAGCCCGCAATCTTAAAATTGGATGCTTACTCGGAAATTGCATCACCCATTTTGTTCGTGATGAGACGATTGCCACAAACCTATCTGCAAAGGCAAGTGCATTATCCGCCTTTTAGCCACTTTTGAACACCGCGACACAAAAGCGGCAATGGTATTTAAGGTTCATACCACCAATATGAGTGTTATGCTCTGAGAAACCACCTTAAGTTCAGGAATTTATTCGGGCCTCATTCAAGAAGCAGCTATTCTATTTCAAAAAGTCGGAGCACATGCTAAAAAGCTTCAAAGTGGGCACGACATTCTACTCACAGCCTATTGATTCTGGCTATTGAAACACCGAACAATCATGCCCAAAGCAGGAGAATCTTACAGCACTGAATGTCATTAACCTTTTATTATTATTTTCCATCACCATGGGCCAAGTACAACTCAATAAAGATCAATGCAA